AAGGTCGCAAAAGGGGATCACATAAATATGTGATAAATATAAATATGAATCCGTTGTCAAGCATCCAAATTTTGATCATGTGACCATTGGGAATGCTGCAACTGTTGTAAATATGAAAAACAGTCACAAGTCACTTTTTCAGTGTGCTGTAACTTCAAATGGTCACTAAATGAACTGTTGTAAGTCAAGGACTACCTGTATTACATGAGCAGAATACAAAGAGACCGGCATCTTACTGCAGATACAACTTGGTTATACCAAGAATACTAAGCAAGAGAAAGATTCTCTAGATCAGGAGTGTCAATTCGCCCTGCGGGGTGCTTAGATCTGGCCTAGGGGCCACCCTGGAAACAGCAAAGGATCGGCCCACAGTGCCTCTTTCAGCAAAAACAGAGGTCAGGAGGATCATGTGCAGCTCTCCTGACCTCCATTTTCAGCTGCGACGGCCTCCTGCAACCCTCTGCCAGCAAAAACTGAGCTCGGGAAGGCAGCACGTTGCCCTCCCGAGCTCCATTTTCACTGGCAGAGTGCTCGGGCCATCACAGGCGGCCCCGTCACGAGTGATGTTGAACTGGCCACGCCCACCATGGCCACAATTCCCGAGGTCAAACACAACCCTGATGCAGCCCTCAATGAAATCGAGTTTGACACCCCTGCTCTAGGTCAATTTCCCCACATAGATTTGGGATTGCAGCTCGCAAAACTCATAGAACAGAACTTCCAGAATAGCATCCCTACACATCTACCGGTAGAAGGAGATACTTACTATAGGTTGCAAAAAGCTTCCTCACACTGCAGGCAAACCCTACCTTCAAGAAATAAATCACATACATCCAACCTAGTACAATATAGTATACCAACTTGTTTGGGACAATGAGTTGAATTTATCTTTTTGATGACATACCAGCACAGAGGTATTCACTAAAGAGGAGGACAGACTGGGACATAAAAATAGGAGGAAGAAACCAAAACATATGTAATTTACATTACATTCATAAAATATGCTTGAAAATATGATTCTGTGTATTTAATAATTTCCCCTTCTGTCACATTATTGCAATTTGTTGGCAACTATTTGAGGATCCAGTCCTTGGGGAAGGGGTGTGTGGCTCATTCGGCATCTGGGTTGTGTATTTCTATGGTAGACTTCCTCTTAAAAAGCATACATTAGAAGCAAATATTGAAGGCTAATCAAAGACGGCATCTGATGCAAGAGTGCCATCTTTTCTTCAGTTCAAGCATCTAATGGACTTAACATCCTCACCGTGTATTTTTAAAATAGCAATGCCTCCATCTTAAATACACTTAAATACTTCTGCCCCTAAATTGTCTAACGTTGACAGGGAGGATTAAAATTATATCCCAGGATATCAAAAAAAGCACAAGGCATGTACCTGAAGATGAAAAAAATGAAGCAACTGAGACCTGTGAGATGATAAAGATAGAGCCTGAGTGGCGCAGCAGACTAATGCTACTGTTAAAAGTAGCATTTAGCTTCCAGCTGCCTGCAGTTACTGCGAGTTCAATTCTCACCAGGCTCAAGGTTGACTCAGCCTTCCATCCTTTCTAAGGTAGGTAAAATGAGGACCCGGTTTGTGGGGGCAATAAGCTGACTTTGTATAAAATATACAAAAGTATGAAGGCTATTGCTTAACGCCTTGTAAGCTGCCCTGAGTCTCCAGAGAAGGACAGCATATAAATCAAAATTTTTTAAAAAATGAGCCATTGCTACAGGTCTCAGAAATGTGTTGGCTTCTTCCTGTTCACTCTATCGCATCCCACTTCACCCCATTCTCACACACACACACACACACACACACACACACACACACACGCACATTCTTTCCTATAATATTATAATTTAGTGGAAAAATGTGTGTCTCTGTTGTTCTACTTAGGCATCTGGTGCTAGAAATTTAAAACATTGCACAAAGTTATGGAACGTTTCATAGTTACATTCAAGAAGCTCTGACACAATGCAACAAATATCACAAATTTAAGAAAATCTATCATTTCTAAACACACACAATATGGGGGGGACACAAAAGATTGGAAGGGTGTCTCAAATCAATCACTGCTGTATTTCCATTGCTTAAAAGGTAAATGGTAATTGCCAGATGGCAACTATTTTACAAACACCAGCCTAATAATCATTACCTGAAATGCACCATCTCCTAACTATTCAGTGATTCTCCATTTCACTATGGAAGTATGATTGGAATCTAGATTTATCCTTACCTACCAACAGACAGGCCTGATGAGCTTGTGAGCAAGAATGGGTGTGTCAGAATACCTGCATGTGCGACACAGAAACATACACAAGAATGTACAGGTGGCTCATGAGGGAATAAAACTGTCACCACAAAACTTATTTCTCCATCTTTTCCCAGGATTGCGTTTTGTGTGTGTGTGGAGTCCTTAGTGGTCTCTGAGCTTGGTTACTTGCAGACAGGATGGATAAAAATCAATGATTTTTTTTAAAAAAATCAAAAAAATCAGATTTTTTAAAATTTAAATTGGATTTTTTTTATTTTTATCAAATTTATTTTAATAAAAAACTTTTGGGGTAAAAATCTATCGTAAGATAGTTTTCTGTTTAAGATACATAAATAAGTTAGTTTATTCAGCATGAAATGGAGCTTAGTTATGTAGCATGAGGCTGTATATTCTGCAATACTGGGACTATCGATGAGTCAACAGTGGATCAAAGGAGTAGCAGAGATGACAGTTGCTCTTTAAAAATTATGATTTAAATCAACTCAATTTAAATCAAGCCTTTTTACTAGTGATTTAAATCATGATTTAAATTGTGATTTAAATCAACTCGATTTAAATCAAATCCATCCTGCTTGCAGATATTTCACCCCCTCCAACTAGGTAACATCAGCACTGCTGATGTGAGGTTTGCTCCTTGTTTATATACAGTAGTTTACATTGTCATTATTGGTGAGGATGTTGCTCAGGCATCAGGCTAGAAACTCAGAGGCCGTGAGTTCTAGTCCCACTTTGGCCACAAAATCAGCTGGGCTTTGGACTAATCACTTTCTCTCGTCCCTAGAAAAGAGGCAATGGCAAGCCACTTTGAAAACCTTCCTAAGAAAACTGCAGGGACTTGCACAGGAAGTCTTTCAGAATCAGACACACATGAAGGACTGAAAGAAGGAAAAAGTTCCTTGATTGAAGTATTGTTTTCTGCTTGTTTGTCTGGTGTTTAATCCCTGCTTATCTGTTTATTGGCTCAACAAAGCAAAAAAAGTTCCCTGACTAGGGTATTATTATTATTTTTTGCTTGTTTGTCTGGTGTTAATCTCTGCTTATCTAGGTGCTAGCTCCTGGAGTGGATGTACTGTGGTCTGTTTCTTTTTTAGCTTTTTAAATTATCTCACTTGAATGATAAGTAAATGTGGTTTATTTCTATGTGTCTATTGACCCCCACCCTCACTAATACTGATGATGTTCCCTAGTCAGGTAATGAAATGTCTGCAAGCAACCAAGCTCTGAGAGTAGCAAGGGCTCCACCATTCAGCCCGGAGCTACGTACATTCCCTTCTATGAAATCATTTTCCTTAAGAAATGGAGGATTATCCAACCACCTTCATCAACAAGAAAACACCTAGGAATCTGTAATCGATAATTTTTCGCCCCTTTCCACTTACTGCACTTATTACTCTTTTCAAACCAAGGCTTTATCCACCTTAAAGAATTATCTCTGATTCTTTCACTACACCCCGCTTCAGATCTTTGTGAAACTTTTCTCCTTTTAAATTTAGATACACCATCACTCCTCCCTTGGTCTTCTTGAAAGCATCACAAAGGCCAAATGGATTATTTAATGCAGGCAGGGGAAGGGAAAAGTGTTCAGAAAAGCATAGAGTAGCTCGACAGATGTGGCTCCGAAGCAAGTCCCATTTCATGGGGGGGGGGGGGCTTGTTTTGACACCCGGAGAGGTACCATAGCAAAGTACAAATGGACTCCCAATAGAGTTAAATCAAACCAAAGAGCCTTGGTAGTACAGGGGTTTAAGGCACCCTGTTATTAAGCTGGTTATTAAGATCAGCTGCCTGCAATTACTTCAGGGTTCGAATCTCGCCAAGGCTCAAGGTTGACTCAGCCTTCCATCCTTTCTAAGGTAGGTAAATTGAGGACCCAGTTGTGGGGGCAATAAGCTGACTTTGTATAAATATACAAAAGGATGAAGGCTATTGCTGAGCACATTGTAAGCCGCCCTGAGTCTTCGGAGAAGGGCGGCATATAAATCAAATTTAAAAAAAAAAAAAAAAAAAAAAACAGGCCTGTAGCAAACCAGCCAAACTCTGGAATTGCTTTTTTAAAGAGAGCCCTAGACAGTTGTAGCATCTGTGAGGGAGCTGTTTGGAGAAGCACGGAATTGAGAGACCCAAAGACCCCCCCTCCCCCGCCCCCCAATCAAGCAAATCCTTTCCATGTACCTCGTAGTAGTAGTAAAACTAACCATTTCCAGCAGGAGCGCCCGCATCTTTTCGCAGCCAGTCACTTTTTTTTCTCGCCTCTGGGGAACCCCAATGCATCAAACCATCCTCTCTCTATCCCACGTCCCGCCCTTCCATCTCCGGAGAGGCCGGGACGGACCCCCCATCGGTCCCCGAATGTGGCGCCCAAAGATCCCCCCCCCCCCCCCCCCACCCCTTACGACCGGCCCTTTTCCTCCTCCCCCCCCCCCGTTATTCCAGCTCCTCCGTTCGCGCCAACCCCGCGCGTTAAAAACCTCGCTCGCCCCGCTTCTCCAGCGCGGCTTCACCCAGCAAAACACACACGCACACACGCACACCCCGCGCGCGCCGCATCAATCCCATCAGCCAAACTTCCCCGCGCGGAGAAAATCACAAAATTCCCCCCCCCCCCCCCCCCGGTCCCCCAAAAGTCCGTAGGGAATTCCTCCGCCGCCCCGCGCTTCCCGCCTCCCTCGACGCGGCCAGCGAGCTCAGAAGGGCGCGAGGTTGCAGCCCCGGCGCCGACCTACTTTGCTCCACGAGGGTCCGCGGGCTGCTCTCCGTCCTCATCTTGGGGCGCTCCAATCGTAGCGGGGCCGCGGCTGCGGCAGCCTCGGGTAGCATAGCTCGCTCGCCCCCCGCCCTCCTCCTCCTCCCTTTTTTTCCCCTCTCCCTTTTGTTAGCCCTTCGCGGCTCCGAAAGACGCGCCTCTCCCTCCCGCTTCGGTTCTCTGGCCCTTGTGTCCGCTTGGGCGCTCTGCGAGGATCCCGCTCCGTTTTCCGTCTCTCGCAGCTGCTTCCTTGCCCGGATTTCTCTCGTCTTTCGGCGGCTGTTTCCTCCCCGCGAGCATCGGCGCTTTGGCTCCCCGCCCCCAACCCCCGAGCGTGCGGCGCGCTCTCGCTCCCTTTCAAAGCTTAGGATGTTAATACCACTCTTTCTTTCCCCTCCGCCTCTTCCCTCCCCCGCCCCCCCGAAGCCTTTTCTTCCCACCCCTCCCCGGCCTGACCCATCTTGACTCCCTTCCAGTGAGCTAATCTACTGCTGGCTGAAAAACAGGCCTTGTTTCTATGGAAACCCCGGATACGGGAGGATTTGGGGTGGGGGCACTGTTGGGGCTTCGGAGACCTTTGGGATCCCTGAGTGAAAAAGTGAGGATGCGCTGAAGAGGGGAAGCTTGTCAGTTCCGCTGGCTTTGGCTCTTTAAAAAAAAGAAAGAAAGAAAGAAATATATTTTTTTTTAAAAAGTTCTCACTGATTTTGCTATTAAAGGAGGTGTGTTTATGGTGAGTGCCTTGTGGGACTGAAAGCAGAAGAATTAAAATAGTACAATAGGCTAAGTTAGCTTCACTACAGTTTGCTGAATAAACCATAACTGGCTTGGTTCACACAACATGCCTAGTCATAAATCATGTTTACAGGAATCACATTGCCGAATTTATTCTGCAGTTTGGCTTAGTGTGCTGTGTGAATCCTTTCCAAATGAATGTTACACAATTGCACCCCTATTAACTGAGTTACTGTATTAAGATAGTTTATCTAACTGGTTTGTTGACAAAATACAATTAGTACAGTTACAAAGCACACACAAACCCAAATTTATAAATTCGAGTGACTGAGATGACATTACAAAATCAACCACATTATGTCTTTTTTTGAAATGTGAGTATAGTGCCTTCAGTGCTTCTGAGAGTGGCAAACCATGGCTTGTCAACAAGCACAATATGTTAACCAGTTACAACTAAGGCAACAAACCATAGCTAAATAAATCATCGCTTAAAAGAACATAGGAATTCAGCTTAACTGCTAGAGATACATGTACATATAGCATTACAACCGTAGTCAGTGATTTTTTATCAAAGTTTAGCAAGGTTAAGCACCAAATAATTGCTCCTCAGATCATTTATTTTCAAAATGCTGTAACCACCTGTACAAGGAAGTTTTAAAGTAATTTTTTTCAGTAACTATACAAAATAATGACTAATTTCTACCAAAAAAGAGCCATGCCTACTTTGGGGGAAACGGAGGAGAGGGAATGGGAGTTTTTTCCTTGGATTCATGAGGCCCAGTTCTCTCTTTGTTCCCAAAAGTTTTTGAAGCTATTTCAGGGACCCTTCTCTTGATTTGTTTTGATTTGATTTGATGTTGTCATCTTTTTCTTCTCTTTGTAATGTGGTAGACATTTTTGTGTTTTTATTTCTGTATTTTATACTGTGTTGTTTTCTTTGGGAGCTGCCAAGACTTGTTTTGATTGTGGCTGCATAGAAATACGTTTAATAAATAAATAAAGAGCCCTATTGGTGGATACAAGGGGGGAACTCATTCAAATTGTCTTGCAGAATGCTTAATTTACCAGGTGGTATGTCTGAATTATCTTAGGTTCTTTTTGTTTTGTTTTCTAGAGGTTTATAACAGTCCTCTTATAAAAAATTGCTTGAATGTTACCCTGTTGCAGTTGGCAATGGTGATGTATGTTCAGAGCAAAAATATTTAATAAAAAAGAGATACACATTTACAGCGTAATTGCATACATCCTATCAAAATATTGGGGGGGGGGTGCCTTTGAGTTAGTTTTTGACTTCTGACAACTGTTCTGGCAACTGCCTGATCTAATTCTTGCAATTTTCTTGGCTATATTTGAGAGGCGACTTGCTTTCTTCCTAAGGCTGAAAAAGTGACTCGCCCAAGGTGACCAGCTGGCTTTATGCCTAAGGCATAAACTCACTAGAACTCACCATCTCCCAGTTTCTAGGCCCATGCCTTAATCTTGATGCCTTAATCACTGGCTTTCTGTGGGACATAACCACTTGGTAAGTGATAATCCTCAATATTTTTTTCTTTTCCATAGTACACATTTGTATCAGAGGTGGTATTCAGCAGGTTCTGACCAGTTCTGGACAACCGGTAGAGGAAATTTTGAATAGTTCGGAGAACCAGTAAATACCACCTCTGACTGGCCCCGACCCCATCTACAGTATTCTTTGCCTCCTGAGTCCCAGCTGATCGGGAGGAAATGGGGATTTTGTAGTAACCTTCCCCTGCCACTCCCACCAAGCCACACCCACAAGCCATGCCACGCCCACAGAACCTTTAGTAAAAAATTTGAATCCCACCACTGATTTGTATCTACCTTCCTACTATATTTTTGAGTGGAGTAACTTTGTCTATGGTCTTTCAGAGAATAAAGAATGGGGTTTTTATGGTTCACCCAATTTTCTTCACCATCATTGACTATTATTTTAGGCTGTTGGTGTTTTATTTTAGAAATATTTGGAGAGGAATTTTCTGAACTAAGGAAATATTTCAAGCCACTTCTGCATTCTTAAATACAGGATTTCATAGAGACACTTTCATATGGAAACATCAATTTCAGTTCATTTCTAACATCTATGCCTCTAGACAAAATAATAAGTCCAAGTACAAGTGTTAGTTAATATAACAGGACTAGAATCTATGTAGAGTTGTCAATTTGCAGGTTTAACATATGTAGATATTACAGACAGTGTGTATATTTGCAATTCGTTTCCAGGTGACCTCATAGTTTTCTTTTCTAGATAAATTTGTGAATATACATAATGATGATGTTATCCATATGTCAAATAACATTTTGCGTGTCTATGGATTCAAAAATTTTCCTTTAATAATTTCAAGGAATCACAAGATTTACTGTTTCTCTTCTCTATCACTTATTGTGGGAGCAAAAGATGAGATCTGTCGATTGTAAATGTTTGTACAAATCAGGGATGGGTTCTACTTACCTTTACTACCGGTTCGCAATGGGGCCGTGTGTGTGTGCTTGCTTCGCTCGTGCAGAAGCTTCTACGCATGCACAGAAGCATTCTGATGACGTCGGGTCGGTTGGCGGAGCCTCCCGCTGGTTTTACTACTGGTTCTATAGAACTTGTCCGAACCGGGGGCAACCCACTACTGGTACAAATACATCAAGCACATTTTTCACCCTCATTATCACTAGGTATAATGTTTTAACCTTCACTGCTTTCTATTTTAATTACCACAGTTTATTCATATAATCACCCATCTAAAGGTATGTGACTTAATCCCATCCAATTCACCCAGACTAAAATATATATATATACAGGTAGACCTCAATTTACAACCGATCATTTAGTGACATTCAAAGTTACAACTACACTGAAAAAGAGATTTACAATCACTACTCACACAATCATTGTAGCACCTTCATGATCATGTGATCAAAATTCAGGTGCTTCACAATTGGCTTGCTTTGTGACATTTGCAGCATCCCAGGGTTATGTGATTGCCATTTGTAATCTTTTCCGCCAGCTTCTGACAATCAACGTCAATGGGAGAAGCCAGATTTGCTTAAAACCATGTGATTCACTTAACCCAGGGGTGCAAACTCACGGCCTGTGATGCACTGGCCACGCCCACTCCCGGTTTAGCGAAGTGGGAAAACTCACAATGCATCACATGATGACAACGTGACGACGTGAGTTTGACACCTCTGACTTAACTGATATGGTTCACTTAACCATGGCAAAAATGGTCATAAAACTTCCATTTTTTTACATATTGCCTCTTTCAATTACCAGGGGACAACTAAGTAGAATCTGTTCCTTAAGAGTGAGAAATCCTGACCCAAAGGAGCATTATAGGTTACTTCTATTCAATGAGAAGAGCATATGCTTGAACAATCTCCATGTAAATTCTATGACTGCCACCTACTGAGTAAGGAATAAATTACATAATCAGGGCCTGTATCTTCCCATTTGGGCTGACCAACTGGCCTCTTTCTCAAAAAAAATAGAAAATTATTTTATTCCATGAAGCACCCAACAACCTCAGTCACCAAAATCCAGAAAGGCCACCCTTGCATATAGGATAAAAAAATACAATAGTAAAGTTAAACATTTATTGCAAGTGTCTACAATCTTTTCCCAAGGACATCAGAGTTTGAACTGCACAAAATTACATTGCATTTGCATTGTATCTAAGGCAACACACATAGAATATCACAATTAATCTCTTACTGGGGAATGAGTAACATCACCTTTAACATCTGACACATAAAAATACATCAATACAAGATGTTATATATTGCAAAATGTAATGTTTTACACAATTTCCTACATACCATTGGATCGGCAAGAATAAAAAGGCAAAGTCTCCAGCAGATTAAGCTTGACTCCTGATGACTTGTTTTTAAATTAACTGTGGAGGAAACAAATTCAGCCTAAAATAGGCTGAGCAGAAGTCTCATTTAGGGCTGATGGAGGAGGACCCTCTTTTGTTCTGTGAGATGTTCCTAATTTCAAGTCTGGGAAATGTTGGAGAGTAGAAGTATGATTAACAATTATTTTGTGCACAGACTCCCCTGAACTCATAGCAAACCTGTGGATTCTGTATTTCTGACATAAGCCCAAGACAGCTTTCTCAAATTGGAGGCTGCTAGTTGGACTACAACTGCTCTTTTCTAAAATTCTTGGGTTGCCAGCTAATTCAGAATATTTAGGGTGCAAACTGAAGCAGAAGGCCACGAAAGGAGCTTCCAGAAACCATAAAACTGAATCATGTTTATTAAAATTGTCCCATTTCCTAACAGCACCAGAGGTCTTTCCCCGATCTTCTGCAGTAGGCCTGAGCAATGGGGACAGTTTGGAATTCAACTCACAAAGGGATTGCTTTTTGCTA